GAGGTAACTATGGGGAGGAAGTGGGAGGGGAGCTGTTGCATTGTGGTAAACTGTGGTCAATGACATGAGACAAAGTATATGTGAACTGCTGTATGTAAAGTGAATTTGCTCTGTAAATCTTCACCCAAATAAAAATAAATAAATTAAAACACACACACACACACAAAATATATTAATTAAAAGTACACATCAAAAGGATAGTTTAATTAAACATGGCAACATCACATGATCAAATGCACAAGAAATTGTCAATATCTGTCTTTCCGTAGAAATTTTTAAATCTATATACGGCTGTAAGCCATTAGCTCTAAATCATGATGAAGAACAGTTAATAAACAAAGAAATTTTTTTTTTCAGGGGGTGTATGAAAGTTTACAGAGCAAAGTTGTTCCATTCAACAATTCATATACATTTTGTTTCGTTGACACTCATTGCAATCCCCGCAATGTAACAGCTCTCTTCTGACTTCCTCCCTGAGGTTACCCTTTCCCTGTGTCTTTCTTTCCTATGCGGTCCTGCTCTCTGACCTTTCTCTGTATCCAAATGCTGTCCTTCAAATCTCCCATGGTTTACTGTTCCAAGGAGTGAAGCTACCTGGAGTAACTGTTTACCTTGTATCCTTGTCTACTGTTTGGCTAAAAGTTAAGCCATGAGAGTGAGCTGACTACCAGGCCTGAAGGGTGACTAGGTGCCACAGTCTCAGGAGTTCCACCAGTCTCTATTACAACAGTAAGCCAGTCTTTTTTAATTATTTTGAATTTTGTTCCATATTTTTCTCCCACTCTACCCAGGATGTCCAATTTTGACCCATGAGTGGTTGGCAGCGGTGGCCAGGCACCAGAGGTTTCAGGGTCTCACTGGTCTTAGTGTCATGGAGGCTGAGGTTCCTGTGGTCCACTACATCCTTGGACTAATTGTTCCCATGCATTTTTGGTTTTCTTCACTCTTCTTTGCTCCAGATGAAGTGAGACCAATAGCTGCATCTTAGATCACCACTTAGAAGCTTTTAAGACTCCAATCACTTCCCACCAAAGGAGGACGTAGAACAATGTTTTTGTGTACTATGTTACGCCAACTCAGCTTGATATTCCCCATGACCATGGTTTTGAGCCCATAGGTCCAATGACTTTCTTCCTCAAGGTGTTTGGCTGTGGCTAAGAAGTTATCACAACTTTGCCCCCTGTTAGTTCTATTATATATATGGACGTATTTTTATAGCACATACAAATACATAGGTAGAGATATCATCTGCCAAAACTATATATATGGTCATGGATATACTTCCTTTCACCTACCCATACCTGATCATCTTGCCTATCTACCTATGTATCCACACACAGATTTATGTTTGTTATTATTGATAATGCAGTATTGTGTATATAAGAGTATTTACCTTTGTTGTATTTCTTGTGTACCTCTCAGTGTTTTCCTTTTCCTTAGTTTATTGTGCTGGTCATCTGCTTTTGGTATATTGCCTTTTCTTTCACCCAAATCAATACGTGTCTCTTACCTAGTGAGTAATATTTCCCTCCCATACCTTGTAACTAACAAAGAAAACTTCTGGCATAGTGCCTAAGGCATTTGACTGTTAACAAGAAGGCTGCTGGTTCAAATCCACCAGCCACTCCTTGGAAGGAAGGTTGGGCGATCGACTTCCGTAGTGATACCACCTCGGAAACCGAAGGAGGGGTCGTTATGAGTCAGATCCGACTCAATGGCAGTGGGTTTTTTTACCATGTAAAACTTTCCTAGACTTTTTATAATAGTGGTCCTATATAACATTTGTCCTTCTGTGATTGACTTATTTCATTCATCATAATGTCCTCCAAATGCATCCATGTTATGATGTGTTTTGTGGATTCTTCACTATTCTTTAAATGTTTCATAGTATTCCATTGTGTGCATTTACTATAGATCGTAAAAACTGGGTAAAATATATGAACAGACACTCCACAAACATAATTCAGGCACCCAACAGCATATGAAGAAATGCTCATCATCATTAGCCATTTGAAAGAGGCAAATCAAAACAACAATGACATATCATCTCACCCCAGCAAAAAGAGCAAAGTTCAACAAGGCAGAAAGTAGCAAATGCTGGCGAGAGTGTAGAAAGACTGGCACTCTCGTATACTGCTGGTGGGACTGTAAAATGGTACAACCACTATGGAAAACAGTATGGCACCTCCTCAAAAAGCTGGAAGTAGAAATACTATTTGATCCAGTAATCCCACTAGTAGGTATACATCCTAAAGAAGCGAGAGCTGGGACACAAATATATATGCCCACCCTTGTTCAATGAAGCGCTATTCACAATACAAGAGAGACAGAAACAATCCAAGTGCCCATCAATGAATGAATGGACACTGATACCTTTTATTTGTTAAAAGCACATTCTTCCTTTAAAAAAAAAAAACAACAACAACTAAACCAACAATTAAATTATCATTGTATCTTTGTGCTACTATAGCTACTGTTTCAAATCTTCTGTCTCTCAAAAGATTATCAAAAAGGCACAAGGAAGAGGGAAAACAGTTTAGAAGAAAACTTTCAACTTACAATAAACCAAAACTAAAATCAAAGTCACTGTCATCAAGTCAATTCTGACTCATAGCAACCCCGTTTAGGTTTCTGATAATTAACCTTTCATGATTAATTTTAAACAAAAGAAAAGATAGTTAAATTTATAAGAAGGTATAGTCAACCACAGAGTCTTCAAATGCTAGTGTTTTAAAAGGAAGATTTGCTAAGAAATGGTATTGGAGAGAGGGTAACTAGCTGGTGAGCAAATGCCTACAATTATTCCTCACTTATCAACATGATTAAGTTCTAAAGACCAGGTTGTTATGCTAAAATCACCACTATGCAAAAATGGAGGATGACCACATCAGACCACTAAATGGAGGGTAACTATGTAACTGTCAAGTTACATCATTACTTAACTGCCAACCCAAGATTCATGTCCCAGCCAAGATGACACATAACCTTAACCATTACAGCCAGCGTTACTCTTGCCTTGCACCTCAGCGTTTGTTACTCCAAGACTTATATTGTTAATGTGTAAAATGATAGATTTTTTTACTATTGTCAGACATGTGACATGTGCAATAATGAGACAGTTGATAAGTGAGGAGCAGGTGCACCACTCTGGCACTTACATAGTCCCTCAATGAGAGACTTTGTTAATACACTAAAATACAGCTTCCTCGAAAGCTGGGTCCAAACTTTCCATCTGTAAATCTCCCATAGCTTTTAGCATTATGCTTTACTTACAGTAAAACTTTTTTTAAATGTTAATACTAATGTTTTTCAAAATCTAAAAATAATGTGTCAACTTAATGTGAATAGGGCTATGACAGATTTTTTTTAATCATCTGCATTTTCAGTGGTTCAAATCTTTTAAAAAACCTATTTTATTATAAATTTAATTCACTTATTATAGACATTTTAAAAAATACAGAGAAGCAAAAAAGAAAAATTTGTCCATAATCCCATTTCAAGGCAATCACTGTTGACATTTGAGTATGTTTTTCCATTCTTTTTTAATGTAAATGTATGGCAAACTTTAACAAAAAGGATGTTATATACTAAATTTCAAACACAGCTGAATAAACTTTATTTTTTTTTTAATGGTTTAAGAATATGAAACATTATCAGCAAAATAAAAATGTTTCAACAAAAAAGATACTTCAAGTTCTAAAGGTCTAACATTACCCTATATGTGCTAATATACACAGATAAATTAAAGGAACAAAGTAAGCCACTAAAAAATCAAAAATAAAATAGACAGTACCATCACTGAAGACCAATTTTGCTACTAACAAAAATTTTTTAAAAACCCTATGAAATAACAGATACTTAGTTTTACAAAGTAAGTTACAGATTGCTCCATTTTTTAATATCTAAAACTATGCAAAGCATATTACACTGTAACTCAAAGGTAAGTATGGTTTAATAAGTTTTTAGAAATCATTTCATTATTTTAATTTCATAAAACTAAAGGCTTTACAACAACAAAAAAAAACAAGATAAATTTTTACAAATTGTCAAAGAAGAAAAAGTTAATAAAAAATTAAACTGATCTTCCCAAAACTGAGTCAATTAATGGTACCATTCTCTATGAGGAGATAGTTATTTAGAAAAACTAAAAGTATACAAATTACCTACCTGTAAGCTCTTCCTTTGTTTTATCTGCTTCAGATAGGTGAGTGTAAACTTGGTTTCTTTCTCCTTCTAACGTTTTTAAGGAAGCATTTAACTTTTAAAACAGAAGGGAAAAGAGCAACATTAATCATATATATATATAGGACCTTATTATAGCACCACCAATCTTTTGAAGCTATTTTATCACCTTGATGAAATTATCACCTATCCTAGAAACCAACAAAGCAGCTTCCATCCTGAAATACCACAGTTATCAATAGTTGCAAACCTCAGAACAGGGACAGAGAAAAGCAGTAAAAGATCCATAAAGAGTGCTTATTTTCATTCTATTTACTGTCAACAAATAGGTTTTGATTAAAACAGCTCTCAAATTACATTTACCAAGACTTCACAGAGATCGGCAAAGATCAAGATACCACTACTGGATGGATATAGAAGAAGGTATAAACCAGAAGAAAATGAACCTAGTATTTACTTCTCTGAATATGAGACCGTAGAGATAGGGTAATACTGAGACCAGAGAAAGGAGAATGTACAAAGAGGAAAGTATGAGAGCAAATACAGTAAAACATTTTAAAATATTCCTAATCCAAAGAAATGAATGTAGTATTTAGAAAGTTTTATTATGATAAATGCTAAATATTAACCATATAGATTTCTAATTAATTTATATTAATATACAAAACAAAAACAGCAACTGAAGAAAATTCTAATCACTTCTTAAATACACTTACAGGGAAACTAAAGTGAACCTTTAAAACAGATATTAAGGACATATGGGTTCAATTCCTGTTCTCATTCTTTCATCATATTCTTTATAGTAATGCAAACCTGAGCAGCATGGATCAGTTTCTTCAAAGCTCCTCTCGGCTGATCACCTATAATGAAAAACAAAAACATAACTATGAATTAGGAAAACAGTGCAATGACATGAGTCATCCAAATGATTTTATTAGTTCATTCAACTAGAACATTATAATCCCCCTTTCCTGATGCAATGAAGAATTTGATATAAGAATGGCCTTGGATCTGTTCCCAGAAAGCTAAACAATACAGGCACTGGAAGTACCATAATATCATTTAACAAGGTTCTTCAACACCAACTTCAAGAACAGACTTAAAACAGGATTCAGCATTCATCTAAATACAGTCCACAGTCTGAACTACTCTTAGATTCTATAGCACCCAAAATGTGGGTGGAATTATATCCCAAATTAAAATAGCACTAAGCAAGCACAACTTTCCTCTATTGGAAAAAGAATTATTTCTTATAAAAATAAGCAGAAATGAAAAAGTATACATAGAACTGAATGTATTTAGTTTGAGAATATCAACATTCCTCCAATGTACTAATCCTATCATGAAAAAAAGTTTTTTTCAAAAATCACACTTTCTGCTCCTTAAATCTGTTAATTATGCAGAAAGTAGGGGCAGATAAAAGAAAAAGGACATAAAAGAGAAACTACTATTGTGGAAAACTGGGTAAAGGACATGGGACTATTTTGTAACTTTTTATGAATCTATAATTACTTCAAAATTAATATTTAAAGTCAGAGGAATTAGCTGAGAATACAAGGAGTATTATAGTGAACATAAATTTTGCCAGCTCCAGACTACAACCAGCAATAACAATTTGACATGGTCAAGATTAAAGAACAGTAATCATCTGAACCATCTACTAAAGCAAAAAAGGTATCCTGAGGTATTCCCTTCCTTATATTACACTCACTTTTCAAACTAATCATCTATCCATTTGATTATCTTGTTGCATAGGGGGAAACAGACATTGAAATTATTATAATACAATATGAAAATTGCTATAATGAAGATAAGTATAATACATAAGAACAGAATAGAAGGAGGCTGCAAGTTTGCCTAAGGAGCTGGAGAAAGACTCACTGAAAAGGTGGTAGCCCAGCTGAGGAGGAGTGAGAGCAACGCAAAGTGTTACAGACAGAGGAACAGGATGTGCCAAAGCACCAGTGTATAAAGAACATGTTGCACGTAAGTAACTAAAATGAAATGAAAACTTGTCACCATTTTTAGCAAAAGAGGATGAGTCATGGCTTAATACCTAAACAGACACCGCTTTCTGATTCACTCTTCATTTCTAATTCAAAGTTATCATCATCCATTACGTCTTCTCCAAGCACAGCAGGCAAAACCTCCGTCTTCAGCAAACATTCAGTCAGAGACTAGACGTTTAGCGAAAGGGGGAAAAAAAGAGAGAGAAGGTAATGCCTTATACTTACTGCTGTACAATGTCTGAATGTATAGTTACAGCTGAAAAATCAACCCACATAGATAATAAGATCTTACTTTCTACCTGTTAAGATATGTCAATAATCTTAAAAACTATAGCATGTCAATCCTCAGCCTCTACAATGATGAGACCAGAAGAACTAGATGGTACCCAGCTACCAATATCAACCACTCGGAGGGGGATCTATGTAGGAGATGCTGGATAGAGTGGGGGAACAACGTGGAACAAAACTCATTTAAAAAAAAAAAAAAGGACCAGGTTTGCTGGTCTGATAGAGCCTGATGGAACCACTGTGACTATGGCCCCTAGCTGCCCTTCAGGTCTGGAACTGAACCCAGTCCTGTGACTTCCTACCAAACAAGACAGGCACACGAGCTGAACATTTACACTAGGTAGATATACTCCTTGGAGAGAACAATCATGGGAGAATAGAAGGGCTGTATATGCACAGGGAGACAGCTCAGGGGGCAGGAGAGCATGGAGGGATGGATACAGGGAAGAGGTTAACTATGGGGAGGAAGTGGGAGGGGAGCTGTTGTACTGTGGTAAACTGTAGTCAATGTCATGAGACAAAGTGTATGTGAACTGCTGTATGGAAAGTGAATTTGCTCTGTAAACTTTCACCCAAATCACAATAATAAAATAAAATATAGCATGTACTGAGTATTATAACTCTGAGACTTAAAACTAAAATTATTTTTCCAATAATTTAAGCAACAGATGTGAATACGTCACAAAAAATTGTAAAAACTATTGTCTTAAATACTACAGTAACTTAACAACCTTTTGTGAAGAACACAGCATTTAATTATTAAATTCTGAGGCTTTCTGTTTTACACAACTTTATACTTTTTTTTTTTTGCTAATCTGAAATATGTAAGCTTTCAGCAGTTTACTTCAATACATTAATGATATACTTAAAACATCTATTGAAAGGCAGTGTTTTTTAATGTTACACCTGCCATTTTTTCTTAAAGCATTCTTTGCATCTAACTATCCTTATCATTGTTAAAATTTTGTTTTCAAACGGTTGAACATCTTATTCAATACTTAAAGCATTATTTTGTCAACATATAATGCATAAAAATGTGTATTTATTGTAACTATTATTTATTTTTAAGTGAAAGTGTAAAACTGCTTTCTTATTCAAGAAATATAAATTTGTTTCCTTCTCTTTTCTGATGTAGCACAAAAATTCTCCCAAGTTTGTGTTATAACTGCCAGTAGATGACCAGTCATTGTAAACCACTTCTCAGTTGCAGGACTTTTGCTCACATTAAAAACAAATAAAAAATGTTCAGCTTTTGCATCTAATCTCTGATTATTAAAATGTTGTAGTTTCTTATTAACAAAGATGCAATTCACTGTGCTAAAGTATTAGAGAACAAACTTTGTTTTATTAAAAAAATTTTATTATTAAATCAAATACTATACTTGATAACTGCCCATTTTTGCTTAATACATTACATGAGCATAAATAAAACATTTCCTTTTTTGAGTTTTTTCATATGCCACAAATAAAAGTGATCATTAACATGAGTCAATTTCGTATGAAGTAAAACAAAACAGCAAATGACACATATGATATATGAAAAGAGCACAGATTTTACACATTTGATTTACTCAAGTAAACAATTAGCTAAGGAACTCAACAGAGAAAGACATTATAAAAGAGAATCTGAATCTGAACATGAGAGGTTGTCCAATAACGCTTTTTGAATTTTCTTGAATAAAGGGTTTCTAACACTCTGGATATTCAAATGACGGTCCCCTGTGTTTTTTGTGGAAGGACCCACAGAATAACCCACCCTGCTCTACAATTTACACCCTTTGATCGCCTCCCTCTTGACAGTTCCCCCACACAAACAACATGGCTTACAGCTTTGAGGAGACCTCGAGGTTAATATCTCATTCTTATTCTATTTGGTAACACTCCAAAAGCTTACAAGAGTAATTTTAAGAGGAAAAAATACATGGAAAATTCTAAGTAATATTCCTAAATCTGGAATCTTGAAAATATTTTTAATAGTAGCAACATAACTAGAATAAATGTAGCTTATGAGCTGACAACAGTAACTATGTAGATTATAAAATGTTGGTTTTATATCTTATTACTTGGTATTTACACCTGAATATCTCTTTGCAGCTGAAAGAGTAAGAGTTTAAAGAGCAGACAGGAAAAGAGGTGTGGAAGGGAGACAGAGAGTACACAAAGTCAACAAGTTCTAAAAGTAGTATCAGTTACTTTATTTCTATGATTAAAATTAAGTTTCAATTAAATTTATATTTCTAAAAAAATAATTAACTGTAAAAGTACACATACCAGCTTCCCTAAGTATTAGTTATATAATCAACACATACAACTTTATCTGTCTGATTTCTCAAATTCTAATCTTACCAATAGAGACAGATGGCAGCCTAAAATGAAAACGTGAAATTCACTATTCTTTAAAAAAAAAAAAAGTTACTATTTTTCTTTCTTTATTAAAGATCGAGAATAAAAATACATGCTATCGTTCTTAGGTGCTGTAGTCTTGGCTCTGGCTCCTAGCAACCGTGTGTAGAAAGAACAAAACACTGCTGCGTCCTGTGCTATTCTCCCAATCTCTGCAATGCTTGAGCCCATCGTTGCAGCCACTGTGTCAATCCATCTCGTTAAGTGTCTTCCCCTTTCTCGCTGACCCTCTACTTTACCAAGCTTGATATCCTTCTCCGTGGAATGGTCCCTTCTGACATGACCAAAGCAGGTGAGACAAAGTCTTGGGTATTCTCATACCCAAGGAGCACTCAAGCTGCACTTATCCCAGGACAGATTTGTTTGTTCTTTGGGCAGTGCATGGTATGTTCGTATTCTTCACCAAGACCACAATTAAAAGGCATCAACTCTTCTTTGGTCTTCCTCATTCATTGTTCAGCTTTCACATGCATATGAGGTAACTGAAACTACCATGGCGTGGGTTAGGTGCACCTTAGTCTACAAAGTGACATCTTTGCTCTTCAACACTTTAAAGAAATCTTTTGCAACAGATTTGTACAGTGTAATATGACATCTGATTTCCTGACTGCTGCTTCCATGGGTGTTGATATATAGATCCAAGTAAAATGAAATCCCTGACTTCCACCTTTTTTCCATTAATCGTGGTGTTGCTTATTGGTCTAGTTGGGAGGATTTTTGTTTTATATTGAGGTGTAATCCATACTGAAGATTGTAGTTTCTGATCTTCATCAGTAAGTGCTTCAAGTTATCTTCACTTTCAGCAAGCAAAATTGTATCATCTGCGTATCTATCACAGGCTGTTAATCCTGAAGCTGTGATCTTTTTCATATAGTCCCAATTCTCAGATTATTTGCTTAGCATACAAAATGAATAGGAATGGTGAAAGGATTCAATCCTGACACGCACACCCTTCCTGATTTTAAACCATAAAGTATCCCCCTTGTTCCGTTCAAACAACAGACACTTGGGACTATGTACAGTTTCCTCATGAGCAAAATGAAGTGTTCTAGAATTCCCATTCTTTGCAAGGTTATCCATAATTTGTTATGATCCACACAGTCAAATGTCTTAGCATAGTCAATAAAACATAAATAAGCATCTTTCTAGTACTCTCTGCTTTCCATCTGACATCAGTAATGATATCACTTATTTCATGTCCTCTTCTGCAAGCTTGAATTTCTGGAAGTTTCCTGTCAATATTTTGGTATATATTTCAATAGTTTTTTAATTATTTTCAGCAAAATTTTACTTGCATGTGACATTAATGTATCATTCAATAACTCACATTCTGTTGGATCATTTTCTTTGGAATGGGTACAAATATGGATCTCTTCCAGTCAGTTGGTCAGGTAGCTGTCTTCCAAATTTCTTGGCAAATGGGTAAGCACCTCTCATGCTACAGCCATTTGTTGAAAACATCTCAATGCGCATTCCTGCAGCCTTGCTTCTTGCCAATTCCTTCAGTGCAGTTTTCACTTGTTCCTTCAGTACCACTGTTCTTGATCATATGCTACCTCCTGAAATGGCTGACCACTGACCAACTCTTTTTAGTCAGTGACTCTGTATATTCCTTCCACGTTCTTTTGATATTTGTTGTATCATTCAATATTTTGCCCCTGTTGTTGTTGTGATGTTAGGTACCACTGAGTTGGCTCTAACTCATAGCAACCCTATGTACAATATAATGAAACACTGCCCGGTCCTGTGCCAGCCTCACAATCCTTGCTATACCTGAGCCCATCAGTGCAGCCACTGTGTCAATCAATCTCGTTGAGGGCCTTCCCTTTTTTTGCTGACCCTCCACTTTACCAACCATGATATCCTTCTTCAAGGACTGGTCCCTTCTGACAACATGACCAAAGTAGGTGAGACGAAGTCTGACTATTCTCGCTTCCAAGGGGCACTCCAGCTGCAATTGTTTCAGGACAAATTTATTAGTTCTTCTGGCAGTCTTTGGTAATTTCAATATTCTTCACGAACACCACAACACAAAAGCATCAACTCTTCTTCGGTCTTACTTATTCAAGGTCCAGCTTTCACACACATATGCGGCGATTAAAAATAACATGACATGGGTTAGGCGTACTTCAGTCTTCAACGTGTTATCTTTGCTCTTCAGCACTTTAAAGAAGTCTTTTGCAGTAGATTTCCCCAATGCAATATATCGTCTGATTTCTTTGCTACTTCCATTGGTGTTGAGTGTGGAACCAAGTGTGGTGGTTAAGTTTATGTGTCAACTTGGCTGGGCCTAGTTGAGTGGCTGGGCAGCTGGTGGTATAGTTATTCCCCATGATGAGACTGGCAATCAACTCCATGGTGGGACCTACCACAAGCAGCTGAGTAGTTGCCTTAGGCATATGGTCTGCTCTGCATATATATAAGCAGCAGCTTAGGGAATGGTCTCTAGCCTATGGCATTCTTGAACCCTGCACATAGCTGTGTCATTCAGCAGCCTGCCATGCTCTGTCGACCCTGGGACTTTCAATGGACTTAAATTAATGGCCTGCCATGTGGTTTGGTAACATCGGGACTGTACCATTTTATTTGTCAACCTTGGGCTTGTTAGCCTCAGAAGCCAGTAGCTGTCTGAGTGAAAAGATGCCTCTACCTTCAGTGGGCTAGGAGCAAGAGGCAGTGCTGAAGCCCAAGGTCGAGGGGTTTTCACCCTGCCCCTAGAGCCTGGCCCTTTGAACTCCTACTGAAAGCCTCCAAACTGGAAGAAAATAAACTCCTGTTTGTTCAAGCATCCCACTTGTGGTATATATTCTTGTCAGAGCAGCACTACTTAACCAAAACACCAAGTAACATGAAATCTTTGACAATTTTAATCGTTTCTCTATTTATAATGCTGCTGCTTATTATTCTAGTTGTGTGGATTTTCATTTTCTTTATGCTGATGTATAATCCATACTGCAGACTGTAGTCTTTAACCTTCATCAGTAAGTGCTTCAAGTCATCTTCACTTTCAGCAAGCAAAATTGTGTCATCTGCATCTCACAGGATGTTAATAAGTCTACCTCTAGTCCTGATGCCAGACTCTTCATATAGTCCAGCTTCTCAGAGTATTTGCTCAGCATACAGATTGAGTAAGTATGGTAAAAGGATATAATCCTAATGCAGTCCCTTCCTGATTTTAAACCATGCAGCATCCCCTTGTTCTGTTCAAATGACAGCCTCCTAGTCTATTTACAGGTTCCTCATGAGCATAATTAAATGTTCTGGAATTCCCATTTTTCTCAATGCTATCCACAATTTATTATGATCCACACAGTTGAATGCCTCTACATAGTCCATAAAACATAAGTAAACATCTTTCTGGTATTCATTGCTTTCAGCCAAGATCCAGCTGACATCAGCAATGATATCACTCACTCCAGGTCCTCTTCTGAATCCAGCTGGCTTTTCTGGAAGTTCTCTGTCAATATACTGCTACAACCATTTTTAAATTATCTTCAGCAAGATTTTATTTGTATGTGATATTAATGATGCTGTTTGATAATTTCCACATTCTGTAGGATCACTTTTCTTTGGAATGGGTACAAATATGGATCTCTTCTCAGCATAGACAAGTAAGTGCCTCCAGCATGGCATCCATTTATTGAAACATTTCGGTAAGTATTCAGTCAATTCCTGGAGCTTTGTGTTTTGCCAATTACTTCTATGTAGCTTCAACTTCTTCCTTCATCACCATTGGTTCTTGATCATATGCCAACCCCTGAAATGGATGAATACTGACCAATTCTTTTTGGTACAGTGATTCTGCATATACCTTCTATACCTGCATATACCTGAGCTTCTCCATCACCTCTTTCCACAGATGTAGTTATACTGATGCCTGTGTTTTTCCATCTGGCAAGGTCCATGTACATAGCGACCATTTATCTTATTGAAAAAAGGTCATTTCAATGAATAAGTCACTGGTCTTGAAAAATTCTATCATGTGATCTCTGGCATCATTTCTATCACTAAGGCCATATTTTCCAACTCCCAATGCTCCTTCTTTCCAACTTTAGCATTCTAATCACCAGCAATTATCAATACATCTTGACTGCATGTTTGGTCAATTTCAGACTGCAGAAGTTGGTAAAAATCTTCAATTTCTTAATCTTTGGCTTTCGTAGTTGGTGTGTAAATAACAGGAGTATTAACTGGTCTTCCTTACAGGGGTATGGATAGTATCCTATCACTGACAGCATTGTACTTCAGGATAATAGATCTTGAAGCGTTCTTTTTGACAATGAATGCAACAGCATTCCTATTCAATTTGTCATTCCTGGCATAACAGACCTTATGATTATCATATTCAAAATGGCCAATACCGATCCATTTAAGCTCACTAATGCCTAGGATAGGGAACTTTATGCATTCCATTTCATTTCTGACAACTTCCAATTTTTCTAGCTTCATACTTCGTACCTCCCACATTCTGATTACTAATGAATGTTTACAGCTGTTTCTTCTTATTTTGAGTTGTGCCCCATCAGCAAATGAAGGTCCTGCAAGCTTTACTCCATCCATGTTATTAAGGCCAACTCTAATTTGAGGAGGCAGCTCTTACCCAGTTTTCCTTTCAGTGCCTTCCAACCTGAGGGGCTGGGTCATGGTCCAGCTCTACATCAGACAAAGTTTCACTACTATTCATAAAGTTTTCCAGTAACATATCTGACAGTGTTTCACTACTATTCATAAGGTTTCCTTCCAGTGGCCAATTTTTTCAGAAGTGGATGGTCCTATCCTTCTTCCCAGACTATCATACTCTGAAAGCTCCCCTGAAACCTGTTCACCATGGGTGACCCTGCTGGTACTCAAAATACCAGTGGTATAGCTTCTAGCAACACATAAGCTACCACAGTACAACAAACTGACAGAGAGTGGTGGAAGCTGAAATACACAAGAAAAAGGACATAGAATGTTGATATATACTACAAGTCTACAAGTCTTCTCGAAGCATATGGCAGGCAGGACGACAATACTTTACTTGCACTAATGAGAATGTATGGCAGAAAAAGCATACATCCTCAAAAGCGGCCAAATAAGAAAACCCAAGTTCCTAAAAAGAAAAGTTTTCATATTACAGAATTAGTGTAAAATTCTCTCAGTTACTAAAGCCAGTGCCAACTACCTTCATCTGATTTTCTTTATCATTCAGAACTTGTTCCATATGTACTTTGGAGTTCTCAAGTGCTACTTTCTGTTTATTAAATTCACTCAATTTTTCTTTCCATTCTTCAGCTTCTTGTGTAAGCTAAAATTAAAAAAAAAAAGTGCCTTATCATACTTGTATGTCAATGAATTTACTTAGATATTCAGGTATATATCATTAAGAGATACTGCACAACATATATGCTGTTGATAAAAAAAAAAGTTCATGTTTTTAAAGAACTTTCAAAACAGGCAATGTAAAATAATACTTACACATTCTTCAACTGATTTTCATAAAGTTTATATAAAATAAAAAGTTTTCTGAGACATGCATATCTGTTAGATTTTTTATCATTCCTTTTATCCCACATAACATGCCATACTTTATTTCTAATAAAAAATTTTTAATCAATGTGCTATTTTGTAACTAAAATAACTAATCTTTAGAAATACCATTAATCTAGGAAAAGTCAGGTTCTGTACAACCAAACTTCTCCTGTATATACTTTTGTAGGAGAGAAAAGACTTTCTGAATATGACACAAAAGGTAAAACCAAAACCAAACCCACTGTAACTGAGTGAATTTCACCTCAAAGCAATGCCGAGTGGGTTTCCAAGACTGTAGATCTTTACGTAAGTAGACTGCGTCATCTTCCTCCCACAGAGCACCTGGTTGGTTTGAACTGTAGACCTCCTGGTTAGCAACCAAATGCCATACTCACTATGCCACCAGAGCTCCTTACAAAAGGTAAAGATTATTTAAAAAAAAAAAAAAAAAAGCATACTTAACTATAAAAACCTTAAAATTTTCACAAAAAAATAACATAAACATGCATGCTATAACATGGATAAACCTAGAAAGTATTATGCCGAGGAAAATAAGTCAGTCACAAAAGGACAAACACCATGTGATCTCATTCTGTGAAATAAACAAGTATAAAGACCCAAAAATTTTTAGTAGTCACTAGGGATAAGACGGGGAAGCTCTGGTGGCGTAGTGCCTAAAGCATTTGACTGTTAACCACAAGACTGGAAATTCAAACCTACCAGCCACTCCTTAGAAGGAAGGTTGGGCAAACTACTTCCATAGGATTACCCACTCGGAAACCCAAGGAGGGGTCGCTATGAGTCAGATCTGACTCGATGGCAGTGAGTTTTAGTTTTGGTATAAGAAGGAGAGGGAAAGAGGGAGATTTTGCTTTGGGTGCACTGAATGTATGTTCCTGGCACTGGGATAATCTGGAAAAAGATACCAAGAATGGTTGCACAACTTGAAAAATACAATCAATGTCACTGAATTGTGCACGTAGAAAATGTTGAAATGCTGTATGTTGTGTGTATTTTTATCACAGCAAAATAATGACACAAAGAAAATTTTAAAAATAAATAGCTAGAAAGGAATTCTTATAACATATGATTGTTATTAGCTGCAGTCAAGCAGGCCCTTGGTTCATAGTAACCACATGCAGAATGGAACAAAACAGTGCCTGGTCCCATGCCACCCCCTTGATCAGTTGTGGATCAAACCACTGTGATCCATATGGTTTTTATCAGATGATTTTCATAAATGGATTGCCAGGCCAATATTCCTATTCCATCTTAGTGTAGAAGCTCTGCTGAAACCGGTTCACATCATAACAACATGCAAGAAGGCTCCAGAGGCAGATGTGTGGTGGCTGTGCATAAGAGGCACGGACCAGAAATTGAACTTAGGTCTTCCCATGGAAGACAAGATTTCTACCACTAAACTAGTAAGAACTTAATAAGAAAAGCCAGTAAAAAACCATGAGCGACCAGGCAAAAAAAGAAATGCCCACACATATATTTTTTAAAAGTCCAACTTTTCCAAGATACAACAACTGGCCTCTCTTTGCCTGGAACAGCAGAAGAAGGGGAGTCAGGAATCGGAATGTGTGCCTATTTGCCTCCATGAACAACTGCTTCCTTTGCCATGAGACCAGAACTGAATGGTACCTGGCTACATTACTGAATGTTTTGATTAAAGATTCTATACAAGAATCCTGATCCAAAGAGGGACAGAATTTCAAATTCGCATAGAATCCAGAGTTCCTGAAAGCATTAAAAGGCTGCGTGACCCCTGAAACTATTGCCCGGAGGTAATCCTTAAACCTTAAATTATCCCCTGAAGTCATCTTTAAACAAAACAATTTAACTTAATAGGCAAAGAATGTTTGCCTTGAGCATTGTGCTAGTTTGAAGAATTATCTTTAAACTGCAATCAAGTAGACAACAGCAACTAGAAAGGTTAGATGAGAAGCTTAGGGGGCAGTGAGTTTATCTGAATGGTGAAATAATTTGGAAAAGGATAGCAAGAATGGTGGTACAACTTAAAGAATGCGACCAGTATCACAGAATTGTACATGCACAAAATGTTGAATTGGTATATGTTTTCCTGTGTATATTTTCATTAAAAAATATACTGAATCAGAATCTTGTAAAAATGTAGGTTCTGATTCACTGTATCTGGGGTGGCAACACAAATTCTCAGTAGGGGGGTCAAAGCCCTGTATTAAAACAAACAGAAAAAACTCTATACTTTTACACCCTGTACAAGAGAAACACCAAAGAACACAGAGGTGATTGTTTTGCTCTCCTGTTTTCCAGGAAAAGACTACTCTCGTCCCTAGCATAGGTCAGTCTTGAGCATGCCTAGAATGTTTGTAATTACAAATTTGCAAGTTGAAGGAAGAGGACCTATAGAGTACAAACCTGTTTCTGGTTTTCCTGAAGTTCGGAATTTTCATTCAAAGCATAGTTTATTGTTATCTTAAGCCGTTCTTCATTCATTTGAAATATTTTGAAGGTCATTTTGGCCTAAGTAAAACAAAAAATATCAAGTTCATAACAATCAATTTCACTTAAATCCAATACCTCATTTTTACACACTGCATACAAGCTGGAAAACATGAAATTAAACAAGTCAAAACCATGCCAACATTCATGGCAGAAAAAGCCTAGTATAGCAGAAAAAAGGACGAATAAAACCATGTTCAAGTCGTGGCTCTGTCATTCCCTTTTATGTGACCTTGGGCAAAGGATTTAATTTCTTACATACTATGTATTCTGTAGCAAATTATGTTAATTATTATCTGTCTCCCCAGCTAAAATTTAAACTTTGAGAGAGCTTTGTCTATGAATGTTAACTGCCAAGCATCTTCAATAGTGTCCAAAACATAGCAGTAGTTCCATAAGTACCTGTCCAGTGAAAAAATGAACTTCTCTGAGGTTGTTTTTGTTGTCAGGAGCCATCAAGTCGGTTCCAACTCATAGTGACAAGATGTACAACAGAATGAAATGCTTCTTGGTCTTGCAACTTCCTCACAATAGTTGCCGTGTTTAAGTCCACTGTTGCAGAATCCACCTCTTTGATCCTCTTTCTTTGCTAACCCTCTACTTTACCAAGCATGACATTATTCTCCAGGGACTGGTCCCTCCTGATAACATGACCAAAGCACATGAGACAAAGTGTCACTATCCTCACTTCTAAGGAGCATTCTTCCAAGACAGATTTGTTTGTTCTTCTGGCAGTCTAGGGTATATTCAACCTTCTTAGCCAACACCATCATTCAAATGCATCAATTCTTCTTCATTCTTCCTTATTCATTGTCTAGCTGTCACATACTTATGGGCAACTGAAAATACCATGGCTTTGGTCAGGCAAACCTTAGTCTTCTTTTTAAAGAAATCTTTTGTAGCACTTTTGCAGATTTGCTCAATGCAATTATGTCATTTGATTTTATGATTACTATTACCAGGGGCACTACTAATGGATCCAAGTTAAACGAAATCCTTGACTATTTCCGTATTTTTTCCATTTATCATGATGTTGCTTGTTGGTCCAGTTGTGAGGATTTTTGTTTTCTTTATGTTAAGGTGTAATTCATAGCGAAGACTATAGTCTTTGATCTTCATAAGTAAGCGCTTCAAGTCCTCTTCACTTTCAGTAAACGATGCTGTGTCATCTGCATATCACAGGTAGTTAATGAGTCTTCCTCTAATCCTGATGCTTTCTTCTTCATATAGTCCAGCTTCTCAGATTATCTGCTCAGCACACAGATTGAATAAGTATGATGAAAGGATACAACCCCAACACAGTTTACTGGTTTTAAACCATGCAGTATCCTCATGTTCTGTTCAAATGACTGTCTCCTGGTCTATGTACAAGTTCTTTAAGAGCACAATTAAGCTTTCTGGAATTCCTATTCTTCACAATGTTATCCACAACTTATTATGATCCACACAGTCAAATATTCTTGCGTAGTTAATAAAACACAGGTAACAATCACTCTGGTATTCTCTGCTTTCAGCCAAAATCCATCTGACATCAGCAATGACATCCCTCATATTCCATCCTCTTCTGAATCTAGCTTGAAATTGTAGTAATTCTCTGTTGATGTAGTGCTGCAACTGTTTTTAAATTAACTTCAGCAAAATTTTACTTGTTTGTGATATTAATGATACTGTTTGATAATTTCTGCATTTCATAGTTGAAACTTCTTTCTTTGCAATGGGCACAAAAATGGATTACTTCCAAATTTCTTGGTATAGACGAGTGAGCACGTCCAGTGTTGCACCCATTGATTAAAATATCCCAATTGGTATTCCACTATTTCCTGAAGCTGGTTTTTTGCCAATGCCTTCGGTGCAGCTTGGACTTCTTACTTCAGTACTGTTACTTCTTGACCATTTGCTTCCTCACAAAATGGCTGAACACTGACTAATTCTTTGGGTAGAGTGATTCTGTGTATTCTTCCATTTTTTTATTATGATTTAGATGAAAATTTACTGAGCTAACTGGATTTCCATTCAACATTTCATACACATTTTGTTTTGTGGCATTCATTACAATACCTACAATGCAACAACACTCTTCTTACTTCCTCCCTGTGTTGACTACTTCCCTTTGTCCTTTTTTCCTATCCCTTCCTGCCTTCTGAGCTCTATCCCTGGGCAAATGCTGCTCTTTTGATTTCATAGGGTTAATTTTTCTAATGAATGCATACCTCCCCAATATTATTGTTTATGTTATAGGACTGTCTATCATTTGGCTGAAGTTGAACCACAGGGGGAGTTCAGTTCCAGACCTGAATGGTATTTATGTGCCATAGTCTAGGGGGTTCTCTATCAGACCAGTAAGCCTGATTTTTTTTTTAAGATTTTGAGTTTTGCTCTACATTTTTCTCCCACTCTACCTGAAACCTCCTATCATGATCTTTTTCAGGGTGGTCAGCAGTGGTATCCAGACACCATCTAGTTCTGGTCTCTAGGTTTTGAAGCGTAGGGTTCAAGTGGCCAATTAGTCCTTTGGACTAGTTTACTTCTGTCTTTGATTTTCTTCACTCTCCTTTGTGCCAGAGGGGGAAGACCTTTTAATTTTCTTTTGATGCTTCCTGCATCATTTAATCTTTTGCCCACAGAATCCTTCAATTTTCCAACTCAAGGCTTGAATTTTTTCTTCAGCTCTTCCAGCTTGAGAAATACCAATCATGTTCTTACCTTTTGGTTTTCTAACTCCAGGTTTTTGCACATTTCATTGTAATATTTTACTATGTTTTCTCAAGCTGCCCTTTGAAATTTTCTGTTCAGCTCTTTTAATGCATCATTTCTTCCATTCACTTTAGCTACTCTACATTCAAGATCAAATTTCAGAGCCTCTTCTGACATCCATTTTGACCTTTTCTTTCTTCCCTTTTTTTATGTGTTGCTTTTTTCATGTGTAATGTCCTTGATGTCATCCCACAACACATCTGGTCTTCAGTCACTAGTGTTCGATGTATCAAATCTATTCTTGAGATGGTCTCTAAATTCAGGTAGGATATACTCAAGGTCATACTTCAGCTCTCATGGACTTGTTTTAGTTTTCTTCAGCTTCAAGTTGAACTTGTGTATGAGCAACTGATGGATGGTCTATTCCACAACTGGCTCATGGCCTTGTTCTGACTGATGACACTGAACTTCTCCATCATCTCTATCCACAGATGATGTTGTTGTTGTTATGATATGCCATCAAGTCAGACCTGACTCATAGCGACCCTTCCTTGGGTTTCCGAGGCAGCATCACTACAGAAGTAGATTGCCCCTTCCTCCTTCTGAGGAGTGGCTGGTGGGTTTGAACCGCCAGCCTTCTGGTTAGCAGTCAAGTGCCTTAGGCACTATGCTACCAGAGCCCCTATCCACAGATGTAGTCAATCTAATTCCTGTGTATTCCACCCCTGAGGTCTATGTGTATAGCCCATATTTATGTTGTTGGAAAAAAGTATTCCAATGAATAAGGTATCTGTCAATTTGTTGTACCATGGTGGCTTGCATATTTTTGTAATGTTGGAAGCTATACCACTGGTATTTCAAATACAAACAGGGTCACAGATTTCAGCAAAACTTCTAGACCAAGAGGAACTAAGAAGAAGAACTTGTCAATCTACTTCTAGGAAAGTTGGACAGTGACATCCTTATGGGCTGACATCCTTAGAACACTGTCCGATACAGTGTCAGAAGATGAACCTCCGAAGTGGGTGGTATAAAGCTTTCAGGACCTTCACTTGCTAATGTAGCATGACTCAAAATGAGAAGAAACACATTCAAACATCCATTAGTAATCAGAGTATAGAATGTACAAACTATGAATCACAAAAAACTGAAGGTGTCAAAAAGCAAATGCAACACTTGAAAGATCGATATCCTAGGCATTAGTGAGCTGAAATGGACTGGTATTAGCCATTTTGAAATCAGACAATCATATGGTCTACTATGCCAGGACTCACAAATTGAACAGGAATGGTGTTGCATTCATTGTCAAATAGACATTTCAATATCAATCATAACGTGTAACACTATCAGTGACACAACTATAGCCATTGGCCTACAAGAAAGATCAGTTAATATGACTATTATTCAAATTTATGCACCAACCACTAACGCCAAAGATGAAGAAACTGAAGATTTTTATCAATTTCTGTGGTCTAAAATTGATCAAACATGCAAACAAGATGCAATGATAATTACTAGTCACTGGAACGCAAAAGTTAGAAATAGAATATGGCCCTGATGACAGAAACCACACCAGATGCATGAAAGAATTCGACATGACCAACAACTTATTTTCTGAGGTACCTCAAATGAAAAAATATATATCTAAGCCCCCCCACATCTCAAATTCTAATATTATGCCTTATACTTTAGTAATAAATATAACAGTAAAATTAAAAGTGATTTTGAAAATCAACAGACTTATTAGACTAATCAACTTACTTCGGCTACTTTTGACTTGAGAGATTTTGATTCATCCTCTAGGGCCTGTATCCTTTCAGAAATATCTGTCATCTGGAAAGACAGTAACAACAAATAGTAAGTATTTACTAAAGTCCTCCAGTTTTCCAAGATGCCATTTATATTGTTAGATATATTGTCAACCTAACACTTGCTTGAGGAGTTTGCAGTCAAATTAAGAAACTTTCTCAGTTTACTAAGACATATGCCTAGAGGGATCTTATAGTATATTAAAATTATTATCAACAGCATTTCATATCAACTTCAACATTCAAATTATATAGGCTCAAGATAAGTTCACCAATACCCTTTCTTACTAAATAGTCTTACATACATCAAGAACTTCCTTAAACTGAATTTTGAAATAGAAAGACAAATGAAGAAAAAGTAAAATGCTCTTAACATAGCTTTTAAACATTAAAAAAATCCACTATGTATGTGATTATTCAATTTAAACTACTTATATAAACTAGTTCCATATTGCATATACATAATTTCTGTAAGAATATATTTTAAAAAAACTTAAACCTATCAAATGAAAAGACAGTGTGCATCTGGAAAATTTTGCTCTCTACTTTTCAGTTTTCTTTGAATTTTTTTTTTTTTACATCGCATGTAGTAGTTTAACCAACATTAATTTTAAAAAATTCAATTACTTTGTTTTTCTTATATTCTCCTCAGATACAAAAGCCTTACCAATTCATCTTGTTCAGAATGTTTAGCTTTCTCTTCTTTTAACTCTTTTTCTAGAGAGAGTATTTCAGCCTCCAGTTCAGACTTAGACTTATCCAGTCTTTCACAGGTTGCCTGAAAGAGGAAGGCAACTTTATAAAACACACACGGGAACTTTTGGTTAGGACAAATCAAATGAGAATAATCAAACATATAAGTTAAATAAGTTTAATTTATATATTTGCTCATTTTTATAATACTGTCAGAACAGATATTCTAGCAGGGATCAGCAAACTTCTGTAAAGAGCCAGACACTACATATATTAGGCTTGGGGGCCATGAAGTCTGTGTCACAACTACTCAAGTATACCAGTATAGTAAGAAAGCAGTTATAAGAGAATGGTTGTGTTCCAATAAAACTTTATTTACACCATTCCTATGTACATACCCAACAGACTTTAAAGCATAGACTCAAAAAGAGACTTGTACATCAATGTTCAATGCAGCACTATTCACAATAGCCAAAAGGTGGAAACAATGTAAATGTCCATCAACAGATGAGTACATAAACAAAATGTAATATATACATACAGTGGAATAGTACTCAGCCAGTAAGAGAAATAACTCTTGATACATGCTATATAGCAGAGATGGAGCCTAAAGACATGATGTAGAGCAAAATAAACCAATCACAAAAGAACAAATATTGTATGAACTCACTTACTTAATAAGACAAGAAGAGGAAAATGTACAGAGACCAAAGTTTATAAGTGTTTACCAGGGATGGGAGGGAGGGAGGAAAAAAGGATTAACAGTAATGGAAAAATTATACTGATTAAGGGGAGGGTTGGAAAGCTAATTATTATAATTGCTATCAATAAGCTGTACACCTGAAAAAAGTTTAATTGTCAAAAACTGTGTGACAAATATTAGAAAAAGAAAAAAAACTTTATTTACAAAAAGAGGTTGGGAACCCATTGAGTACAGTTTGCCAACCACTGCTCTATTGCATTATAAAGGAAAAAAAGAAAGAAAGAAATTCAATTTAGCATAATTAGGAACATAATAAAATAAAAATTAAACCTTAAAACAAATCAAGATTGCTTCAAAGATTGTATTCCACAGTGAATTAAGACATTTTCTGTGATCTTTTTAATTTAAAGTGATTTGGTTTTGGATTATTCCAATGGGATTTTAAATACTGTAACAAACGTACCTCTCGTATTTCTGATCCTTCAATAAACTTGTTTTAAAAAAAATAAACACACCAAAAGATACAAAGAATTTAATAGAGGGAAAAATAAAAGAGAATATACATACTACAATACAGTAGTTAAAAATTCACTTATATATATCTTCCCAAATTTGAGTGTTTCATTATATTCTCTAACTTGAATCAAAATTACTCTATTGGTATGGTTTTATCTATAGATTCAATCATAAAATTTTAAAAGATTACATCATATTATATTTTGTATTCAATTATTACTAATCATAAAATAAATCACTATAATATATATTTTTAAATTACTAAAATTAGAGAAAAAATTCCAAAATGTTCAGTTTAAGAAAAGATTCAGCTAATTTTACTACTAGAATATGTAAATTCAATGACTTGACAATAAATTAGTGCCTTATTTTATCCACAGGAGTTCTGGTGGCATAGTGCCTAAGGCACCTGACTGCTAACCAGAGGCTGGTGGTTCAAACCACCAGCCACTCCTCGGAAGGAAGACTGGGCAACCTACTTCTGTAGTGGTATAGCCTCGGAAACCCAAGGAGGGGTCACTATGAGTCGGATCCGACTCGACGGCAGTGAGTTTGGTTTTGGTTTTTACTTTATCCACAATACCACCAAGCTTGAGTAAATGTCTTTGCCACCCAGTTTTTACTCTTCTGTTAGCACACCAAACACCTTCTAAAAATCTTTCAAGTTGTCAAATAGCAATAAATTACTACTGGAATAGTAGTTAAAAGAAGTTCAACAAATAAAATACAACAATTTTAAGAAGTTCTTGAGGATATTAATAGGTAACAAAGAAAAGATTAAGAAATTTATTTTATTTAAAATTCAATGTTTAACTTCCTTTGGACTTGACTAGAACATACTGAATTATAATACACAGACATCCTGATGACTGCAGACATTAGTGATTAAGAATTGCCAAGCTGAAATGAACACACACACCATGGCACAAGGTCCACTGTTTCCTACTTTAATATCAGGAGTAGCAGGCTATCCTCTGTAACAACTATGCTTTTTACAACACTTCTATATTTAAACAGTAGTAAGGTACTCCTACCACTTACCCTAATCTGTCTTGCTCTAGCAAAACTACAAATTATCATATTTTTCTCCCTTAGAATGCAGAAGCTGAATCACACCTGGCTCAGGAGAGCAAACTGCACATCTCTTCCCCATTCAGCATTCAGTGACATTACGCTGAAGGCTTGAAATTAGCCATGATATTTATACTATGGAACCCAGCAAATGTTACAAATAAGGGCCTTTGCTTTTCAGACAGCTAGTTATTAAACATTTACCAGTGTACCACTGCTTATACTATAAATTTCTGCTCTAATTCCAGTCAATTCCTAACACCTTAAAGATGAATTAAAGATAAGTAAGTACTGATGCAATTTTCATAATTTACTACTGTCAACTATTCCTAAATTTTTGAGAATGAATCTTATTTCTCCAAACTGAGTCACAAAAAGAATGGTAACCTTAATTGATATCCCAGGAATGAAGAAAGAGATTCTGTGTACGTATCAACCCAACAACTGAATGGGTCTCACTCAAACAAGTAATGAAAGTATAAATTTTCAAAATATATTCTGCTACCAAATATTATTCTATTTCCAATATTTAACTTTTTTCTTGAAGTATTAACATCCAGAGATGTTCTTATATTTCCTTTGAAATATTCAGTTCTGAGAAGATATATATAATTTTATAGGTTTTTATTTAGGAAAAATTTTTTCCACAGCTTTTTTTGAATTATACCACTTGTTTTTACCTCCAATCTTTGTGCTTCTGTTAACTCCTTCCCAAAGCTGGCATCCTTTACAGATGGCTCTAAGCCTTCATACTGAAACAAAGAAAAACTATGTGAAACCTCCAAAACTTCATTCCAAATTTAGCTGGATGGGTACCTAAGAAGCACAGAGAATCCACTCCCACATTTATGCTAAATTTTCTTGGATGTATTCATCAGCTCTAAAGCATAACTCAAAGATCTTCAAAGGTCTCTTCATACCAGTATAACAAAGTCAGAACAGCTACACTTTGTAACCCACTAGTTCAAACAACAAATGGCAGAATTTCATCATTAAGATTAAAGAAAGGTGACTCAAGTCTGCTTCCCAGAAAACACAGGACTATAACTCATATTGACATTCTTTGCCTTTTAAAAGGAAATAAAAATTCTAAAAAGTATACAAAGGCTTAATCAAAAGTATATTGTTACATACATTTTAATGTCTATTATGTTCTCTAACAAGTAAACCTCTTCTTTAATTCTATTTCTTAAACAGAAATTTATAGTAACTGTCCATTAGAAATTTTCAATTCTAATTCAAATTGTACAATAAGCAGGAAATATAAAATCTTTAAAAGATAAAGAGAATAACCATAACAAACGTAAAATAAAGAAAATGAGTTACATAATGCTATAAAAGTTGGCAAAAATGGAAAAAGATGGCAGAATAGGTAGACAAGCTCCACAGACCCTCTTCAACACAAAAAAAGAGAAACCAATCGACAGAGATACAAAAGACAATCCTGGAGCCCTGAGCTATGAAAGGAAGTATACAGAAGAGGATTAGGCACCAACTAGTTGGTGATTAGGCACTCAACCTGAATCAAACAGTGAGTATGGAGACGGTCAGATAGTGGACTATCAGCTACTCTGACAGGACCAACAGTCTGAATATTTCCAACCAGTGTTGGGACCTAAGAATTGACCTAAAGATCAGCCTTGGTCACCAAGGGCTGCAGGGACAACTGTGCTGGTGGCCAATGACTAGGAAAGGAAACAGGAAGGAGGGAGGCAACCTGAGCTGTGGACTTTTGGCTGTCCAGAGAGCGCAGTCATTCTGGATATTTATAGTGATCAAGGGCACGGCTATTTTGATTGTTTACATGCAGTGGCCATTTTGTATATTTAAAGTGACTGAGGAGCAGTCATTTTGAATGCTTACAAGCAGTGGCCACTTTGGATTTTAAAGTGACAGCATTCTCATTTGGTTTCCAGGGACCTAAGAATAGGCTCAGTTTGCCAATGACGGCAGGGACATACAGGAGGCTGACAACGGGAAAGGACACAGGTGGTTAAGTGTGTAAGTGCTGCCAACTAGCAAATAGAGGAGCACAGCAAAGCACCCTGCTTGCACAGATAACACACAAACAAAGAAAATGAAAATCATGAGCAAGTCACTCCAACATACAATCACCAATCAAATGTAAACATAAAAACGTCACAATGCCTCAGAGACAACAGAACATCACAGTGCACACAAAGAAACAAGATAAAGCAGGAGAAACAAGGGACCAGGATACAGACCCAAAGCATATCCCTGAGGAAGACACAACATTGGAACTCCCTGATAAGGAATTCAAAAGAATTATATTTAGGTATCTTCAACAAATTGAGAGACAGATCAAGGAAAACACTGACAAAATGGAGGAAAACAGAGAAAACCCTTGAATAATTTTGAAAGACAATACAAGAACAAAATGACAAAATAAGTGAAAAATTAGAAATTATACAAAATCTACAAACAGAAATCCAGAAGATTAATACTAACTCTTCAGAAATAGGTAACACATTGAATGGGCAAAGGAGTAGAATTTAATCATTGGAAGACAGAATTAGTGAGATTAAAGGCAAATACCTCAATACTACTTTAGAAAGGGATCAATCAGATCAATCAGAAAAAAGACCAAAACAAAAATGAAGAAAGTCTGAGGTTCATGTGGAATATTATCAAAAGGAATAACCTACATGTAACTGGAATTCTAGAACAGGAAGAGAAAAAAACTCAACAGGAAGAGACAAAATCACAGAAAAACTGTCGAAGATTTGTTGAAAGAGAATTTTCCTGGTATTATGAAAGATGAGAATATATCCATTCAAGAAGTCCAATGAACCCCAAACAGGAAAGACCCCAAAAGAAAATCACCCAGACATATCATCATCAAACTTACCAAAAGCAAAGACAGAGAAAAAATCCTAAAAGCAGCACGAGAAAAACAAAAAGTTACCTACAAGGGGCAACCAATAAGAATAAGCTCAGATTTCTCAGCAGAAACCAGCAGGTGAGAAGACAATGGAATGGTATATATAAAACCCTGAAAGACAAAAATTTCCAACCAAGAATTATATATCTGGCAAAACTGTTCCTCAAACATGATGGTGAAATTAGGACATTTCCAGATAAGCAGAAATTAAGGGAATTTGTTAAAACCAGGCCAACCTTACAAGAGATGCTAAAGGGAGTCCTTTGGACAGAGAAGCAACAACAGCAAACAACAAATGACTATTAACATACATGATGACATAACTCAGAAACCACCCAGTTATAGAAATATCCAAAGCAAATAAGCCTACAAGATTGTAAACAGGGAACCACAGACATCAACTGACAAATGAAAACAACTACAAACCATAAAGAGGGAAAAAATTGTGTAGTTACAGAACTTCTAAATGGTAGAGAAGTCAAGGCAACTACAAGATAGCCATTGATATGTATGCTTTAAATGGTAAATTGCATGGTATATGAATTATATCTCAATTAAAAAAAAAAAAAAAACTAGTTACAATGGTTTCAACTACAAGATCTGACTGTTCAAAACTTGGGAAGAAATTATAAATCACAAGGTAACCTCAGAGGAAAATGATAAACCTCCACATCAAAATACAAAAGAGGACCAGCACAAATATTTAGCAAGTACTAAACAACAGCAACAAAGGAAGTGATAGCACGACTCATAAACAAAACAAGCACAGCATAGAAAATTATATGAAACAAAGAAATCAACACCACAAAAAAGCACATAACAAAAATGATAGCAACAAATTCAATACTTGTCAATAATTACATATCTGACAAGGGACTTATCTCTAAAATTTATAGAAAACTCCAACACCTCAACAACAAAAAGATTAACAATCCAGTTTAAAAATGGGCAGACGATATGAATGGACACTTGGCCAAGAGGATATTCAGGCACCCAGCAAATACATACACAGAATGGAATACTATGCAACACTGAAAAATAATGTAGAATCTGCAAAACACCACATAACGTGGATGAACTTGGAGCACATTATGCTGAGTGAAATAAGTAAATTACAGAAGGACAGATATAGTATTAGTTTATTACAGTAAAAAAGCAAGGAAAGATTTATATATGGAAGGAAGCTTTCTTTGTTGGTTGCCAGGGGTGGGAAGGGAGAGGAAGGAACACTGCAAAAAAAATTTTTTAAATGCATTGACTCATGCCACTTTTTTGTATTTCACGGTACAAAAATTATATTTCAATAAAATGCATTTAGAAAAAAAGTTGGCAAAAATCCACTTATTTCAACACTTCAAAAAAACAATGACATAACCATTATGTTAGATCAACCTACCCTCTGTGAACAATTAAAAAAGCTGGACAAAATACTAAAAAGAAGGGTCTGCTTGAAGTTCTCAGAGAACTATGAAAACAGTGACAATTTGTGAGAAAAGGGAATTCCCTAACAGTCAAGTCCAGCACTGATACTTCTTTTCCCCCTGAAATTAGAGGTTAATAGGTTGAGAAGCTAAATAGAGTTTCAAGAGACTTGGGACCAAGAAGCCAAAAATCAGAGCTTAGGGCTAGCCAAGTAAGATAAACCATGTAGCCCAAACTAGAGAATGGGACTCTGTGAGAGGATGAATATGACCCACTAAGACATCTATTTCCTAATCCCCAGAATGCATAGATGGGATTAAGTTAAGAATCTAGAGATGGGAAGAATATCTTGAATTACCTGTTGGGCCTAATGTAATCACAAGGATCTTTATAAAAAGGAGGCAGGACAATCAAAGTCAGGAGAGAAGGCAATGTAAAGACTGGAATGACACAACTATGAGCCAAGGTATGCTGGTAGCCTATAGAAGCCAGAAGGGGACTAGGAGCTGTAAAGATGATGGCTAAGAAGTAGAGGGTTCCTTTTGGGTTAATGAAAATGTTCTAAAACTGATTGTTGTGAGAGAAGCACAACCCTATGAATATACTAAAAGCCATTGATATGTATACTTTAAATGGTAAATTGCATAGTATATGACTTATATCTCAATAAAACAAAAAAAATACTAGTTACAATGGTTTCAAAAAAACAACACATACTCAGGCATATATCTAAGAACAGGTGTACCAAAAACATGTAAGACATTACTGAGAGAATTTTTAAAAAGACATATATAGAGGGATATAACACAGTCCATGGATAAAAACTCAATACTGTAAAGTCAATTCTCTCCAAACTGATCTATATAATCAATATAATCACAATCAAATTCCTAGTAAGTTAGCTCTGTGTGTGTGTGGGTGTGTAAAATGATGAAGTGATTAAAAATTTACATGGAAAGGCAAAGTGCCAAGATAATGAAGAAAATCTTAAAGAACACAGTTGGAGGTTTACAATGTCAGATAACTAAACTTATTTTATAAACAAGGAAGAATGGTACTGGTGGAAAAATAAAAGAACAGGCCAACAGAACAGACGGTATTCCAGACACAGAGTCACATACATTCAATCACTTGATTTCAATAAAAAAAAAATTTGCTAAATATTAAAGTCGATCTATTGAAGAAGATTCATATTCTTACTAGCATATTAAAAGCTCTGAAATAATCTTGCTGTGAAGATCTTTTCAATTTCACTGAAGTTGACGACACTACAGTGTAATAGAGAAAAGATGGTTGTTTTCAATAAATGGTACTGGTTAATTAATGGTAATGGTTAATTGGACATTTATAAGAAAAAGATTTAATCTTGACCCTAGAGATCATATCATAACAGATTCAATTCCAGATGGATTATAGAATGAGAAAAGTAAAACAAGAAAGTGTCTAAAAGATAAGAGAAGAATCTTCATATTCTTAGGTAGGCAAAAATTTCTTAAGTAGAAAACAAAGAGAAGTTATAATGGAAAAATTAACAAATTGAACTATGTTAAAATTAAGAACTTCTGCTTATCAAAAAACACCATTTGAAGGAAAAAGGCAAGCCATAGAATGAAGAAAGCTATTTTCAATACATACATTCGACAAAGGACTCATATTCAAATATCGGGGAAGGGGAACAAAACATCCCACATACCAAAAAGGAAAAAAGACAAATAACCAATTCTAAAAATGTGGAAAACACTTGAAGAGGCAGCTTCACAAAAGAAATCTCATGTTCAACGTCATTTGTCAGGGAAATCCCAATGAGAAACCACGATGCACCTATGACAACAGTTAAAATTAAGAAGACTGGTGATATTAAGTATTGAAGATGAGAAATAACTAAACTTTCATGCTCTGCAAACAAAGTGTTAATTGCATAGAAGTACTTAAAATGAGAAATATAAATCTGTGAATCTAACATAAATGCTAACATTTTCAAAAATCACTTACCTCTTTTTGAACAAGGCTAAGCCTGTCAAGTAGTTTACATTTTTCTTCAATTAGTGCTGAGAGTTTTACAGCAAGCTTTTCCTCCCGACCTAAAAAAGTCAATATATTATGTGCAAATTATTTTCAAGTTTTAAAATGATAAGCAACAATTAGATCAAAAAGAGAAAAAAGAACTTACGCACATAAAGTCGACTTCTAACCTGAAACAAATTTTTAACAAAAATATTAAAACAATTGTACTTTAAATACATCTAACTTATTTATCTTCTACTGCCAACTTAAATATAATAATTTCTTTTTACACATTAACCAAGTATTCTTTCCAATGAGAAAAATATGCCGCATATTAAAGTCTCCCTAGATTCACATTGTTGTTAAGCAAATTAAAAGCTCTGAAATAACCACGTCACAAAGATACCTGTTTAATTTCATTTAACCCATGGTTCCCCAAACATATGTGACCCTAAAATGAACTTTTTCGGGAAGCTCCTATTATTATCTTCCTAATGCTAATATCTAAAGTAACACAGTTTGAAGAATGTTACCATATCTCAAGTGACTATAAAGAAACAGTAAACCGAAACCTTTTCTTCTTTAATCTCTCTCTCTCTCTCTGCTCGCTGGTTCAAATAATGAAGAAAAGAAAGAAAACAATCCATTTATAAGGGGATCAGTCTTAAGGCAGAAGTAATACAAACATCATCAAAACCAAACCCAACCCACTGCCATCGAGTGAATTCTGACTCACAGTGACCCTATAGTACAGAGTAGAACTGCCCCATAGAGTTTCCAAGGCTGTAAATTTTTATGGAAGTAAACTGCTTATTATAAAACTACAGTAAATAAGGAAGAATGGTACTGGTGGAAAAATAAAAGAGAACAGCTGGTGGGTCAAACGCCCAACCTCTAAGTTAGCACCTAAGACTTTCACCTACTGCATTAATTGTTGTTGTTGTTGTTGTTTTGCCATCAAGTCAGCCCCGACTCATAGCGACCCCTCCTTGGGTTTCCGAGGCAGTATCACTACGGAAGTAGATT